AAAGGAAAAGTTGTACAGCATTCCCACTCAAAATCAACAGTGAGCCCACTCTTTGAGTCTCCATTTATAGTCCTCACATTTGAAGATTTCTTTGAGGTATTTTGCGAGTCTCCATATATTGAGATACATTGATGACTTCTATTCTGACCCATTAAAAGCCTTTTGTACCTGCATTTAAGAACTATATGGTTGTAGATATTTCATTTAGGTCCCAGTGTGGGATGCTCTAACAATATTTTCAACAGAGGACCAATCAGAAGATTTGCAAATTGCAACTCGTTTTATATCTGATCACAAATTAATAACGAAGCGTAATGATGTTACCATCAAACCAAAAACTTTTTCCCTAGCATAAACTGGTAGGAAACTTGGAAGTAGTTATGTACCTGCATACTGCATTTACGTCATTAGTTTTGCTTTGATAACGTTTAAAAGAGTATCGTGACGTGGTGCACATTGGACCGATATGCTAAAAAGACTTAAAGTAAGGAGCATTATACATTAAGCACATAGATTGTAGATGGACCACTTGACCGAAATAAAGGAAAAAGATTGTAGATGGACCACTCGACCCAATAAAAAAGGGAAAAAGATTGTAGATAGACCACAGAAATTACGAAACCAATGGGCCTCGGCATAAATTAACAAAGTGGTTCTTCCACAAAAATTAAGTGAAGCTGATCCTTTGACCCAAAAAAAAAAAAAAAAAAAAAAAGTTTTATTCACACGCCTACTTTCCACATATTTTTATTAATTTTTAGTCATTGATTTTCTTTTATTCATTTGATCCAACGGTCAAAAATTAAAAAATATATGTGAAAGAGAAAAATAGGTATGTGAATAGAACTACCCAAAGAAACATCTCAATTTGTTCTAAATAGAAAAATAATTTATGCACATTTTTTAATCTTTTAGCACAATTATATAGGTTTGTTTTTGTCTATTAGTTCTTATTTTCTTTATTCAATATGAACGTTAGAAATTTATAGAGCTATGCATGAGAAGAACAAATGTTTGTGGAAATCATTTCTCTACTGTAACTTTAGTACCTTTTATAGAATGTATTGGAGGGAGATGAAGATTGACTTAAGTCACACAATGGATCGGCTATCATTAAATATTGAACTCGTCATCTATAAGAGTTAAAACTTGAAATTTTCCACTTACAATCAAAGAAAAAACCACTCAAGCTTTAAATTATAAAACTCTATAGATAAATTAATATCTAAAGATAAACTTTTCACTCACAATGACGATATATTCACTTTATAAACGTCATTCTCCATCCGGTGACGCAGCAAATGTTCTGATGTATGAGGCCAGTTTTCAGTGACATACTTGGTGATCCCATCTCTTGCGTAAGTCATTTTCTATTAAGTGGGTTGGTCTACGTAAACTTGGTGGTCTAAGTGCCACAAAGTCGTGTAGAATATGCATGGCATCGAATATCGGCTACTTTAGTTTAGAGTTTAATCGTCAAACTTTCCCGCGGGCTGTAGCTGGTTTACTCTCCTAGCCGTATAACTTACATGAACCGTGGTTCGCTGCTAAAAGAAAGAACGAGTGCTTCTGAAAATCCAATTGCAAATAAGCATGTATCTAAACAATTAAAATTGAAAATTGCTCAAAGAAGAACAAGTGTTTCTAACACGTGTCTGAATAAGAAAAATTGAAAATTAAGATTGAAGACTTGTCTATTTGTGATTGGATTTCAGCAGCACTTGCTGCTCTTCTTTAACAGCGAAGCATGATTTATCTAAATTCTTAATGTAATACATTTGGAACCTTGTTTTTTGTTGTTATTAGTTTGACGTAATGAAAACTATTACGTACGCTCGCATAAAAAAATATTATATTAGAAAAACTATTATAAATATTATAAAATAGTCTTTTAACAGTTAACGTGACATTTTAGTAAAAGAGTGTACGATGACTATTTTGTAATAATATTTGCAATTTGGCATGCCAAATATGTATTCGAATTAATCCCTATATATTTCTCCTACGATAAAAGATTTGGGTTTTGGATTAAACAATAAAACCCCCAACTTGTGGATTTTAGTTTTATTTTGAGTTTCATGTCCAGTGGACGGACAAACCAACTTTTCTTGACTTTTCAAAGTAAGCTCCAAATTATTTATTTTTATAATTCTATCTACTTGCTCATTTCCACGCAATAATCCAATTAGGTCTTTTCTTCTAGTTCATCGGGTAAACCTAACTTTCTTTTCTTCCAACAAGATAACAAACTACCCATCGTATTCACGCATATTCTTACGAATTAACATTTAGTTACAATAATGGTTACCATTAAACACATGTTTAAAGAAAAATGCTTGATTGTCACAACGAAAGTTTCACGTCCGTCCCAGTACGGCATTAATCATGTGATCATGAAGCTTCTTAATATAAACATTATGCATTTAAAATCATAACACTTGACTAATTCATGTAGCGGAATTCAGATATAAATTATAAAAGGAAAGCTAATGAAAAAAGTTTGAAAATTTTGAGTTTTAATAACAATAACAAAATAAAAGGTAAAGTGAATGGTAACATGATTGATTTCTTAGTGTAAAAATATGATTTTTCGTTAAAATGAATAGTACCGAAAGCTTTTCGTTAAAATTCTCAATTATAAAATTATCATATAATTGTAATATTTTCGATAAAATATACACAAGACCATGTCGCACCAAGGATATTTACCTCAACAATAACATATTTTTTATTGAAAAAAAAAAAAAATTAAGCTCACGATCAGATCGAATCATCGATGATCGCATCACATGTGTGCCCAATGACTCAAGATTACTTCAAACACGAACCCTTGTGTCTTTGACCGCTTCCTCGTGACGTGGGGAGAATTAAAAAAAAAAGAAAAAATAATGAAACGAAAGCAACGACCACGTCACCCAGTCATCAGCAAACGTGCTAAAAACGAAAGTTTTTTCTACCACTTATACAAATAGTAAGATGTGTGTTTTAAAAAATTAATAATTAAAAAAATAAAATTTTCTAATATTTATATAAAAGAACGTGATGTACCACTCGTGTTCGATCACAATAAAAAATTTCTCGCTAAAAACGACATGTTCTAGAATCAAGTTTTTTGGGATCAGATCAGCGTTATTTTATATACGCCACGTGGCGCTGTGATGGCGACTGCTTTGGTAAGTGAGTGAGGTGTGTGGTGGCGTCTGACAACATGGGGTGTTGTCGTATTGCTACGTGTAGGCGGACGCACCGTCCGGGAGCGGCTTTTGTCGTGATATGAATGTTGGGATAATTTGGGATGAGCTAATAGTTGAGATTAGGAGATATAATAATGTCTTTCACTTTTATTTTCCGATTGCGTTGCATGTGGAAATGTTTTTAAGATAAAATAAGATGTTGTGTCTAATTTGGTAAAAATGACATGGGATCAAATATATTAATAGATAAAGTGTTACGTATTTATCCATGCATTTTGATTTCGAAATTTTCTGATTTTTTAATGATCTTTTGAAAGTTTTTTTTTTTTAAATGATTGAAAATGTTTTTTGTAGAGATATTTTTAAAATCAATTCATAGTAAAATGTAAGTAAATCTTGAAAAGACATTTGAATTACTTGTTGTAAGAAGCATATAACAAGCGCTTATTGTATGAAGCATTTCAAGTACTTTTATAACTTAAAATTTTTTTCTTTAAAAGCGATTTTAGTCGCCACTCAGTACTACGGTCTGATGGTATTCCTCTTCACTTGAAAGTAAGAGGTCTTAGGTTCAAATCTCATGGATGACGAATTCGATACTAAATTAGGTTGTCGATTGTATGCCTTTGCCGAACTCCTCCTCCCCTTAGTGTAAAAATATCGATGTACTAAAAAAAAAAAACGATTTTAATCATTTTAATAACACTTTTAGACGAAACTTAAATTATTGTTATAATTTCGAATTCTCATCACATAATAATAGTAAATATTTAAAAAACATGGTGAAAATTGATCATACCTTTCACCAACTTTGCTTTTTTCTTTTTTTTATTTTATTTCAAAAACTCTTCTCACCCAACTTAATATTGTGTAGAGTAGATTAGCATAAAATCATAAACAACTAGAGTAACTTAAATGAGTTATTATTTCTTGCCAAAATAAATAATTGAAATTCAAATGTTCAGATTTTGTTAAAAAAAAAGGTTCACAATGATAATTTTGGTAGTACTAATAACTCTGAACTAAATGATGAAGTGTCATCTTATATCATATATGTGCACGAATATCATGTTAAATAAACACCATTTAAGGAAGCAAAAGGGAAATAAGCGTGTATTTCTCGAAGTACTAGTCAATTATGTTAGGCATGTATCATGCTATACATACACTACATTTACTACATATGGCATGTGCATTACCTAGGACACAACAAGGAGCCTAATTCTTAAAATTTGAAATCAATAAAAGTAGTCATTGAATCTATCTATCGTTAATCATTTTGATATTTTCGTGAATTTTTTTATATTAAATAATGACTAAAATAACTAAAATATTCTCAATTTAATAAACAATTGACCAAAATAATTTGATAAAAATTAAAGGTATTATTATCGTACACATAGCAATACGACAACAACTCATGTAAGTAATTGAGAGCAAATGGGTATGATTAGTAAGTACTTTACCACAACATGCACGCGAGCTATGAAAAAATAAACGTGAACAATTTAATTTCGTCACAAAAGTAGATGAGAGCAAAAGAGTGTGGCCAAGTACTTTCGGCCTGAAGTACTAACAAAGAAAGGCAAAAACAGGTGGGAAAATTAATGGCAACGTGTTACGTGTGCGGTGCATCATCTAATAGTGTCGAACAACGCGGGTGACGTAAGTAAACGTCATCAACAGCAACCTGTGACGTCGCACGGTGCGCAACTGCCGTTGACGCTAAAGTCTACGCTTCTCTCTCTTCTCTCTCTCTCAACAGTTTATAAAACCCCGGTCCTCAAACGCCACTTCTACACCGCCCCCCCCCCTCTGAAAATTCTCTCTCTCTCTCTCTCTCTCTCTCTCTCTCACTCTCTCTCTCTCTCTCTAAAAGTTGAACTTTAATCGCAATATGCAATCAGAAACTATCCCACAGGGAACATGGATTCCGGGCACTCGGCCCGGCCACGCCGCACTGTCCTCACGTGACGTCCCAAGCGAGCAACATGTGGCGGCGGCCAGCGTACAAAAGCTAGTGTCAGAGAATGCCGTCACGGTTGTCGGGCGACGTGGCTGCTGCATGTGTCACGTCGTTAAACGGCTGCTCCTCGGCCACGGTGTCAACCCTACTGTTTTCGAGGTGGACGAGGACGACGAGACCGGCGTTGTCATTGAATTGCGGAAACTGACCGGAGAAGGCCAGGAGGACTGGCAGCAGTTTCCGGTGGTGTTTGTCGGAGGGAAGTTGTTTGGTGGTTTGGAGAGGGTTATGGCTACTCATATCACAGGTGAACTCGTGCCTGTATTAAAACAAGCTGGAGCTTTGTGGCTTTGAATTTTTAGTTGCTTTTTTTTCTTTTCTGGGTTTTTTTTGGGTTTGTGATTCTGCAATTTTCAATAATTTACTTAACTTACATATGATATATTTGGATTCAATAAAAAAGTTGGAGGAATACATTTCAGTAGGTACAGCTCCAAAATTGCTGATCATTTGATCATTTCTAAATTTATCTGTCTTTAATTCTGTTGATTTTTTTTTTTTTTTTGATTTATGTGGAGATAATTAATTTAAAAGTTCTTGTAATAATCGATGATATGATGTAATTTTTCAAATTTATGCTAATGACGGACAGCAGGCGAACATCCAATGGGACTGAGCTGGTTGGACATGTTTGTCTGAGATGAGACTAAATCTTCGTACTCATTTTGTTTGTGATCTCATTATTATTGATTAGTATGTGTTAAGTTTATGACAACGAAATTAAGAAGAATTAAGTTTATTAATACATGTTAATTAATGATATAAGTCACAAAAAGATCACACACAAAATAAGTGAATAAGATTTGAACTTGAGATGGTCATTTTCATTAGTTCATTCTATCAATTCATGCCTCCATTAATCAAATTTTATGAAAAATTGCTCATGTTGACGTGGCTTGTTTCAGTTGCTTATGTAAATATCGGATCATAAGAAATCAAATCGGACATATTCCAAATTTTGAATACAAATGTGTATTAACAATTGACAATCTCAATTAGCACGACTATTATTAGCACACCTCATATTAATAAACAATCAAAATAATCAATTAAGGTAAAAAGTCATAACAAAAATACGAAAAAAGATTTGGTGCATAATGTCGTAAGAAAATGTCTCATTCTGTCAAATTAGTCTTCCGCATGGTGTAGTAACTTAAATAAAAAATATAGAAAGATTGGGGTGGTGGATTTTGGGTTCCACACGCTTAATACCTGGACCTTAGCGAGCCAAACCGTAAAATATGGAAGTCAAATTGTCGGCCATAGAGGTCGACTCTTCATCTGACTCATATGAGATGAGCATGAAATTTGCATGAATTTGTCACGTTTTGTGGTGGTGGGAGTTTTCGTTCACTATGCTTGATATAAGATGACGAGGGATTTCTCAATGCGCAAAACACGAGACAGTACGTAATATGAAGTCAGGAATTGTCGAGGAGTGAGACGAATTTTTTTTTTTTTGAATAAATGATATTATTCATATTAAGGGGATGAGGGAGTAGACTAAGCTTTACAATGAGTTACCAATAATGTGATTCAAATTTGCTTTTTGCGAGAATTGAACCTAAGTCCTCTTACTTACAAATGAAGAGGAATACCACTAGACCGTAGCACTAAATCACGGGTTGGGGTGAACTTAAAAGAGTGCAAGATTAAAAAAAGATTAGCCTATATTTCATCCAACTCAGTGATCTCAATTTGTTGGAACTACCTAAAATAGTTGAGGAGGACTACCCGGAATATTTGAAGGATAACTACTTGGAATATTTGAAGGAAGATTTAAGCATTATTATTTTTTTATATATAATATCCTTCCATTATGTAATTGTATAATACGGAAAAAAAAGTCTAATATTCTTAATGCAATACCAATAATTATATAAACTATTCATTAAATAAAATTCAATTCAATTAATCAATAATCAAGAATTCAATTTTTATTTTAAATAACAATTTTATTCATCAATAATTATAAGATTTATATCGATAATCAATAATCAATAACCCTATTGATTAATTACTCTATGATTCTATATCTACTAAACAAAATTTCATATTAAATAAGCAATTAGGGTTAATGCTAATATAAATTTGGAAATTAAAAACTTTATCTAAAAGCTTGCAGCCATTTTGTAATCCATCTTTCAGAGGAGTATAAATAAATTCAAAGTCTCATTTCAACATAATCAATAAAATAAGCATTCTAAATTTCCAATAGAATCAAAGACAATGAAAATAAACATTCAAAGTTCAATTACAATCAAGTTTTACAATCAAGTTTTCCAAAGTCCAAAGTTAAATAAACATCAATCTTCAAATCTTCCAAAAGTCCAAACTTAAAATAAACATCAAAGTTCAAGTCTTCTACACCTAAAATAAACATTCCAAAGTCCAAAAAACCCAAAACTAAAGGTTCATGGTATGTGTGAACCATACACAGCAACTCAAAATACCCTTTTAAGGATGATAGCTTTGACTGAAATAAATCCAACAAAAAAATCAACCCGAAACAAGGACTATGAATTCAATTGAAAACGAATGAAATACGAATAGATGCTGATCCTTTTTTGTACCCATTGTACCAATTCATCACAACATGGGTCTTTTCGGGGTTACACTGTTGCCTAAGTTTGACAAAACTTAAAAATAAGAGTACAGAGATAACCGAATCTGAATTTCATCATCTCCATGGTCTCAACCCTTCATTTGTATACAAACGAAAAGTCACTAAAATTGGCAAATGGTATGGAACTCAGCAGAAAAAATGCCACACTTGCGCAAGAATAACACACAACCGCTTAAAAGAGTAACAGCCAGTTCATTTATAGATACAGGTGATTACCACAGTGCTCTAGTTTTAGCTAACGACACCTAAACAATGTTTATGATTTTCCCTACAGCAGAGAAGACCTCTGTGATCAAACCTAGAGATCACCCAAGTTTGAACCAAGTTTTATAATGCGACGAGACTACAACGTACTCCATGCCACTAAAGAAAATGAATATTCTTTGTAAGAGTCAGCCGACCACCACCATAATGAAATATGGAATTGAGACGGTGTTCATGATGCAGTCTAATAAAAAGAAAAAGAAAAAGAAAAATGCTAAATGGTATCAAATTTCTATGGTGTTTCATTTATAACTGATCTAGAAAAATTTTAAATTACAATCTATTGAAAATTGAAATATCTCAAATTCTCATGATCACACTACGCATATAATATATTGTTGCAGAAAGAAACCCATAAAATCGGTTGATTAATAGAAAATGCAAAGTATGAATCCTTCTCTAATCTTTATCGATAGAAAATGCAAATTAATAATTGAAAATCTGTAAAGGCCACTATTTGTCCAATCATAACCAATTTGAACCGATAAATAGAACAGAAAATTAAACACAGAGAAGTGAGAGTGTGAGACTAACCTTTTGCTATCGAGACTCGAAATGGCAAGAAGAAGCTGACGGCGAGATGAGAGACTGACGGCGAGGTGTGAGAGATTGAGAGTGAGATTGGTCGCGGGTCGTCGCTGGCATTGATGATTAAGAGAGACAGAGAGTTCGAGAGAGTGATTGAAGACCGAGAGAGAGAGAAGAGGCTCAGGTTGCACGAAGGCCTTAGGGTTAGGGTTGAGAACAATGTCGTTTCTAGAATAGGATTATTAATTAATAAAATAATTACAAAACAACGTCGTTTTGAAGAACTTCAGTTCGGTTCGGTTTTTGAACCCCATAAATCAAAACTGACCCAACCAGATTCGTTTATGTTCAGTTCAACAGATTCGGTTCGGTTTTTTCAACCTCCATTCGGTTTTCGGTCCCTTTTTTTTCAATTTTCAGTTTTCCAACCCACCCCTAGGCCCAACGGGATATGTTATGCTGCTCTCTGATTAATTTATTTTTTAATTCTATGCCTAAACGATGTCGTTGTACTAAAGAATTGTTTTTTAACCAGGACCAAACGATGTCGTTTGGCATGGCTTTTAGAAAAAAATAAAACCAAATGCATCAAAGCTGCGCACTAGCAACAAACCCATATGAACACAGGCGGAACTACCGCACCAACAAGCACTTCCGACGAGACCAGAGGGGCGAAACCACCATTCATGGACTTGATTTCCGGTGAAGGGAGGGGCAGCTTGCCCCTAATTAGCTTTGCCACTGACTATATCCGTATTTTTCTAGTATTATGTACCGTCTTTGTAGACGACCTAAGAAATGATTAGTGAGTTGTGAATTATGGAAAATGATTACTGAGAGTGGTTGTGTACAACTCATGTACAATCAGCCTATGATGTAATAATACATCAAATATTAATAATAAACAAATAAAGATAAAATAGTGGTACGAGAAAATGACAACCTCATCTCATGACGTGCACCAATCAATTGTCCATATGTTAATCAAGATCATCCCATGATCCCATCCCATCCCACAACAATGAAGCTTTATTAGTGTTTCTATGAGAAATGCAAACGAAACTTTCTCAAAAGTAGAAATTTTTATATATTATTTGTCATCTCATGTTTTTTGTATCATATTTAATAATGTTAGCATTAAAATTAACGTTAAATTGTAAAGGAATAGAGAATTCATAAAACTTTAAAAGAATCTCCTTAATATTTCCCATATTTTCATTTCGAGATCGAGACTAGATAGGATTTTGGTAATCAAATGACATGACAGATTGTTGACTACCTTTATAACGCAACTTTGAGCCTTATCTTGTTTTTCTCTTGTCAATTAGAGAGCCCGTGGATAATCAAGTTTATGCGTTCGGTTTTCCAGTCTTCCAATAATATTACTTGTGCTGACATAATAAACTAGGATGAATAAACATTATGGAGCACCAGCCGCAACAACAAGATATGATCAATAAAGGCAGCAATCACGTTTTTTTATGGAAGTGGACAAAAGTGCCCCTGACTTTGTTTATTAGTTTCTCTTTCTTTATAACTCTGTTTCGCAAATGGTTTTCTTGTACGTGCTCGCGGGATCGAACTCTATCCTAAAATACTAGGAGTGACCCCAAAAAGCTCAGACCAGCCCACTCCCATCACCCGACCTTCCCACCTGCAAAAGCTCAGCCCAGCCCGAACCAACTTGATGTTCTAAACCTTACACACGGTAGCTCAGCCCAGCGATGCCGAGGGTTCATTGGGCTTGGCGCTTGTTCGCTAAAAATTTGGGCCGCCGGCGGTCTTGCTTTACACACTTCCCGGCGAAGAGGCAGCATAGCAGCCGACTGCAAAGTTAGCTTTAACAACACGCTGTCGTTCCGATTTGGGACCCACGTTATTGTACAAATACAGGAAAGCCCTTACGCTAATTCAATCTCCACCGCGGCAACCAAACCCATAGTCGTAATTTGACTCGTCCTCCTTCTCGTTCTCGCTGCTCTGCAAAGCACCCCAAAGCCTCCGAC